GGATCAGGCGGTGCAGGACCGTCCCGCTCGAATCCTCCGCCGTCCTCATCTCCGCCGCGTTCCGTCCGTCCGTCCGTCCGTCCGTCCGTCCGGGGGCTCTACGAGCGACGCGGGCACCTGCGGGGGGGACACGGGGACGTCAGCGGGAGGGGGGCCGGAGAAGCGCGGCTCACCCCGCCGCTGTGCGGCTCCGGTGGGACGGGGCTGAAGGGAGGGCGGCACTTACCGGGGCATGGCGGAGCGGCGCGGCCGTGCTGCCGCCCGGGGAACGAGGCCGCTGCCGACTGCGGGCCCCGCCGGTAGCGGGGGCCGGGCTCGGGCGCTGCTATGCCCGGAATGCGGGGCCGGCCCCGCCCCGCCCCGCCGCCTCCTCCTCCTCCTCCCCGTCCTCTCTCCGCCGCCAGGGGGAGCAGCGGCAGCCCAGCCGCCATTTCGGGCCGGGACGATCGGTGTCAGCGCCGGGCTGGGGGCTGGCGGAGGGGTTGGGGCCGCAGCTGCCGCCCGGGGGGGCCGCGAGGCTCTGCCCGCCAGCTGCCCGCCCGCATAAATCTTCGTGCCTGATCCCGGCCCCGAGAGACGCGCCATTGTCTCTCGGCCCTACAAAAAGCCGCGGCCCCATCTGCTCTGCCCTCTGCCAGCGCTGCTCCCCTTCCCCGTCGCACCCCCTCCCCCCCGGCCCCCACCTCTCGTGCGGGCTGCACGCGTGCTTTGCGCCTTCCTTTTGTGGGGTGCGGCGGGTCGGAGCCCCGGGCAGCAGAGCCGCTTCCCCGTCGTGCGGCCGCCGCGGAGGAGCCGCGGGACCCCAGCGCCCAGCGCCAGGCACGTCCGACCGCGGGGCCCCGAGACGGCAGATGGCCCGAGGGGCGGCGGAGGGGCAGGTGCAGGGAAAATTACTAATTAGATACGGGACATTAAGCTCTCATTCTTGAGAGAGGGAATTTGGCACCTTCCAAAGGCCGAACAAAGCCCGGAGCGGGCCGTCGGGCTCTTCCTTTTGCCATCCTTGAGGGGCTTTGTCTGGGGGAAGGAAGGGGACAGGATGCGGGGAATGCTGTCTGCTCGGCCAAACCCCGCCGCACGCCTGCAGCATCCTTCAGAGAGGCACAGATGCACGCTGCAGAGCTGCAAACCCCCAGCTTCCCCTGCCAGCCCCAGCGATGGAGGCACTGGGCTTACGTTCAGCACCCGGCCGCTCATTGATAACGGGCCGAGAAACAAGAGCCCTGGGTGTGCAGGTGTGGGTGAGATCTCAAAGCCCACCGGGGGTCTCTCAGTGGGATGGGGGCACCCAGCTGCCCCCCTGGCTCATCCAGCAGCTTTATCTGTGCCTGCGTCATCCCGCTTCCCTTCCTATCTCAACACCGCTCTATTTTTGGCAGCAGGAAACCCCTCCTGGGCTGATAACAGTGCTTTGGAAAGTGATCTGAAGAGGAAAAGCCCTCTGCTCCTCTTTTTCTTTCTAACACGGCAGATACGGGAAGCTTCCACCTTTCCACGTCCCCCTGGAGGAGCCTAACCAGCTGCTGGTTACTTCACACAGACCTTTCCCATCCACAGACCCATGCAGACCCTCTGCCTCTCATCAGAGGATGAAGCACGTGGAAAGGTCGAAGCAGCTCCCAAAGCCCAGACTTGGCAGTTTTGCAGGGAAGGGATGCAGGGCTGCTGTTGGAGATGGAGATGCATGGTGTGCCATGTCCTTGCTCGAAGGCAAGATGCTTGGGATGCTTGCGATTGCCGATTGCCGTCCCAGAGCTTCAGATCCTCTTAGCTGTGAGATTAGACATCAGATGTGTTGCTATCTCTACTTTTAGGAATGGGCCAGCAGAACCGGTGGAATTTTTAGAGGAAGGATGAACAAACAGGCTTATGGAGCAGAAGATACAGAAGGGGTTTCGCCGTGGGGAGAAGCAGCTCCCTGCAGCCCCAACCCCAAAACGCGGGGCTAAGTGCAGGTGTTGGAGCTCCGGGCTCCTCGGTGACACACAGCTCGGCGATGCCAAACCCTGCTGCTGACCTCATCGTCCAGCCTTATCGGTGAGGCGTTGGAGCGGGCTGAATGAGCCAAGAAAATACTTGTGGGATGAGATCACCTTGGCTTTCTTCGTGGCTCCCAACTGCCACTCCCGAGCCCCGAAGCTGGGGAGGATGCGTGTGATGGAGAGGTTTGTGGCCAGCAAGATGCTTGTGGAGGGATGCTGACAGCACATGGGCAGCCTGGTGCCGTGTCCACTGAGCCCCAGGATGCCAAAAGCCTCCTCCTGTCCCTCTCACAAATCCCTGCTTCAAAGCAAGAATTAAAAACAGGGCTCAAGTCGCCACGCAAGCACCTGTTCCCCATTCCCGCACTGTTTACTCATGCCAGGATCCCTGTGGCCTGAACCATCGGGGCTGCCAACCCCACAGCCCTGCGAACAGCCCGACAGTGACACCTCAGGAATGTCCCTGGGGATGTGTCCAGCCCATGTCGCCTTGACTGGCACCATGTCCAGGGACATGCAGGGTGATGCCATGTCCTGCTGGGGTGCAGGATGGGTGCTGCAGCCTTGGCAGTGACACCCATCACTGCTGCCCCGTCATCCATTCTTCCTTCTCGGCCATCATCTTCCCAAAATCTTTCTACCTCTGCATCTCAGTGGGGGCTCAACTGGAGCGATGCAGGACCAGGGCTGGTGATGGTGGCAGTGGGTTGTTGGGCTGGTCCCCATGAGCAGCCATCCCCCAAGGCACAGCTCCTACCACGCTGAAGCACAAATAGGCACCTTCTGTCCCAACATCAAAGACAAAGTGTGAAGTGCAGATTTCTGACTGCATTATGTCAGAAATGGGCTGGTGTCCTTCTCTTCTCTGCATTTTAACCCCATCCCCCTGCACCCCCCTCCCCCCGCCCATTCTTGAAATGAGTAATTTCCACTCCTGGATGTTAACTTGTCCTTTTCTGCTCCTGCCAGCAATAATTTGGCCACATTCTCACCTTTGTGGCATTTTCGCTCTTTCCTGAGAAATGCAGATCTCTGGGTGTGATTTCCTGCCCGCAGGAGGGCGGGCGGGGAGGAGGTTCCAGGACAGAGGAGGGCTGTGGGGTGACACAAGAGCAACTCATGTCACATTTGCAGCCCTGTGGACTATGGGGCACCTCCTGTGTGAAGGTTGGCTTCACAGCCTTTTTATGGAGGGCTGGGGGTGGGAGGGGACTGAAAAGGCTGAGCCTTTTGGGGAGAAGTGAGTGGGGGGGAAATTGTTTTATTCTGGGGAACCAGAAAACCCCAAATGTTCTTTGGTTACGGTTCTCTGAAAGTTTAAAATGATCCTTTTGCCTAGGAGAAAATTGTGAGAAGCCAACACAACTCCTAAATAAAAGCCACTGGCAGTATCAGAGCATCCCTGGGATGGTGTGGTCCCTCCCTTACCTCTCAACCCCAGGGTGGTCCCGAGGCAGAACACCTCCTCACAGGCAGTTCTGTGCAAGAACCCCAATCTGCAGCCTGCAAAAGGAGTGGGGGTTGCTCCTCCTTATTGCTCTTCTGTGATGGAAGTCACTGCACACATCCAGACTGCTAAGGAAGCTTTGCATCTTCCCTGCCATGGGGATAACCTGCCATGGCAAAATCCTCTTGGTGTTATGCTCCTGGATGTTTAAGTGAGAACTAATCGGTGTGGAGGATCAGGGCTGGCCGAGGGGCAGATAGCAGGGAAAGAAAAGGGGTGTTGACTCTGATGCCTGATAGCAACACTTGAAGGAGACTCAAACAGCCATCTCCAACCCGTGCACTGGCTTGGTGAAATAAGAAATGTGGGGGTGAGCATTAGGCAGGGCTTGTTCTTCACTGCAGGGTCCCAAACACAGCAGGAACTCTTCACCTTGACAGGGAGGGTGACACCAGGCTGTCACTGCTCAAAAGCAGTGGGTTGCCAGCAGGCTCATTACTGAGACGCACCTCCAGGCAAACCTCACATGGGCACAAAGAGTGTGAAATGTCCCTTGATGCCCTTGTCACAAATCTTTGACCTCCTGTGGTGTGTGCTGATGGTTGTGAGAGCAACATCTGGGCAGGCATGCAGAGGGGAAGGTGAAGAGCATCTGCCTCCATAAAGTTTCCTCTGGTCCAGCAAATGTCTGGAGGAAACACTCACGGCGAAGCAGGGAGGAGAAAAGGAGCTCCTATAAGGCTGGGACTAACAGGGAGAGATGCAACAGTGAGAAACCTGCAGGAGAAACACAGCGATACTTGAGCCTAGAGGCAGTGCACTGAGATAAGAGTAGGTGCTGAAGGTAGGCTCTAGAAATGCTTTTTCTCTCCATACATTCCATAACGGCGCTGAAACGGAAGCCCTGTGACTGGCTGCTGGGAGAAGGGTGGGCAGAAGAGGACCCAAGAAGAGAAGAGGGGAAATAAGAAGAAAAACAGTGCGAGCAATACTGAGCTCAACTCCAGTCGACCTCAAGCAGACCAGGCCCCAGAAGAAACTCAGCCCCTCGAGTTTTGAGCAGTCCTACAACCAGCTCAGTGAGAGTCCCAATGCTGGCAGAACAACCTTCCAGCAGAGCTGTATGTTTTAGCTGCTCGATGATACAATAGAAAACGCCTCCCAAGCCCTGGCCCACTGGTGCATTTCCTTTGCTCGCTGGAATTTCCGTTTCGTTCTTCCTCTCCCAGGCTCTTACCGAAAAATGGTGTCACCATGCGCGTCCCTTGGGCGGGCTCTGGAGGGAGGCCAGCCTCGAGGGCCCTTTGTTGAGCTCCCCGCGGGTGCTGGGTTCAGCTCGCCCGTTTATTAATCACCCAAGGCGACTGTGCTGGTCAAGGGAAGATTTACAAGGCGGCCAGGAAGTTCTTATTTTTACAGGAGTGCCTCAAACACACGCACGCAGTAGGAAAAGCAAACATTCCAGGCATACCGAAGGATCCGCGGGATAAAAATTCCCCAAGCAGCCCAGATTAAGACACTCCAGGCACATGGAAACACTCAAACCCGGACTCGGGGATTTAATGGTGTGATTTAGCAGGCAGCCCCTAAGCTCTGCGTGGAACAACCTGAACTGCATGGGAGAAGCCCCTGTAGAGGGGGGCAGCCCTTGCTACAATGAAGTCAGGGCTGACCCCACGCCCAGCTCCATGGGGGCACCAGAGCCTTGCAGCAGGAGTTTGCCTTAGGAAACTTTCAGCTTCTCTCCTTCGCCATCCAAGCAAGGGTTACTGAAGCAGTGCAACACCTGGTCCCAGCCAATGGAAAAGAGGTGGATGCTGCTCCAGCTCTGCCTGCCCGGACCACAAGCTGGAGTGCAGCAGTTGTTGCTCCAGGTCAACACATATTACCTCCTCCAAAGTCCTGTGGAGGTGATCTCAGCTTAAGGACACATTCCTCAAACACTGTCCAGGTTGGATGACAGCAGAATTTGGTCTCACCAGTGGCTTCCACAGGACAATCTGTCTCCTGGGTTGCTTGCCCAGCCTCACTGTCAAGTGGTTCCCAAGTGCTGCCACATGATGAAGTGAACAACAGCAACATTTTTGCATGCATGGGTTTGGGTTTGCAAAGAAACGTAAGAAATGCAGAAGGTAAAGAGCTCCTGAAGTTGTTAAGTTTGCTTATAGGAAAAAAAATCAGCCTGAATTACGTGCTTCCCCTTTCTCTTTTGTAATTCCCTTGTCAAAAGATTCGTGCAGCATATTCACAATGATGCCCTTAGTCCTGATGACATGTTGGGCAATAGCCTGGACTTCCTGATGGGCTCTGCATCTCTCTGAGTGAAGAAGAGGAAGAAGCACTGAAAAACAGTAAAGTAAAAAGGGTCAGAGATCTTCATGAGCTGGAAATATCCTGGAAGCTTCTGGAAGAGCTGTGGAGGGGGCCGGTAAGGAAATAAGTCATCTGCTGAAAGGGAGGGTTAAAGACAAGCACGTGCTTGAGAACATCCTAGAGAAAAATGCTCGTTTACCCAGTGAACGAGGCACCCTCCATGCACAAAGCAGACATGAACTGCCCTCTGTGCTTAGCCCAAATCACAACCCACCCATAGGCACAAGCAGGGCCACCTGTCCCCACAGCTGGCCGCAGCTCCCCTCCTGCAGCCACAGCAAGGATGCTCTCCAAGATCTGGGTGATTTATCAAGAGCTTGCATCTCAGTGTATCATCTGAACTCTTATATTCGTTGTCTCCTGTCTTTCCTGCCTCTGTTCATCACCAGCCAAGGAGTTCAGGAGACCTTTCGGTGCCGATGCACTGTTTGAATACAAAGCCATCCTCACAGAATGGGTTTTGTCCCAGTAACCGCGACTGGCTTCATTGTGTCTGCACCCCTCTCCTTGCTTGGTTTTAACTGTGCTTCTTGATGGTTTTCCTAGCAGGATTCTCTCCTGACAGCAATTGGTAATTCACATCCACACAGTGCAGCACATGCTTCAACTCACTGCAGGCTGCGCAGTGCAGGACTGACTTCTGTGCCTACAGGCATGAAAAATTACCATAAAATCTGCACTTTCCACAAATGGCTCCTGGTGTAGATGTGATCACCCCTGCACATCTTCCTGAGATCAACTGTGATTTCTGGTTCTGTAAATTCTTGCTGCCAGCTGAGGCCAGGCCACCACAGCAGGGCTGGGGCGGAGCCTTTCCCGTGCTACACCACGAGCCAGCTGCCTTTAGCAAATCTAACGTGGCATTGCAGAGATGTGAGTCATCATCACCAGCCTTGTTTTCACAGATATTCTCAGCGCAGATCCGCGCCGCAGTATTTTTGTTTGCCCCTGACCGTCACAATATGACACATCCAGCTCACCCCATGATAACGAGACCTGGCTTATTAGGAACAGTAAACAAAACCAACTCCTTGCAGCCCGACAGCCACGACTCCCACTGCTCAGAAGGTGGTGTTGGGTTGGCAGAAGCCCCGCAGAGCCTCTTCCTCAGGACCATCAAGCTGCCTGGCCATCTTGGTGCCGCTGCTCCCAAGGGCCTGCGTCCTCACTGGGGATGTGGCGAGTGCAGGTGGTGCTGGTGGGGATATTAAGGATGATGAGACTCCCTAAAAGGAGAGCTGACTGGGATGCTCTGGGCACTTTTTGCCTTGCCTTGCCTTGCCCTACCCTTAGACAGCCTTCCCTGAAGGCAAATTGGGATGGATAGGCAGAAAAGATCCTAAGGCCACTCCACCACTGGCTGCATTCAGAGCGGGCACAGAGGATGGCACATCGATAGCTTTCCAACGCATGGCCCAGGGGCTGCTGCCTGAGTTCTGGCTCTCTGGCCTTGGCCAGGAACATGGCGCCTGCAGCACGAGCCTTGCCCTTCAGAGGAGCTGCCTTGCCAAGATTGGAATTGGGCCAGACACCTTACTGGCACACAGCTAGGCAAGACAACACAAGCCCTTGTGCCCAGTCTTTCTTGGTCCATGAGGCTGTGGGGACAGTGCTGTCCCTTCTGAGCTGAGTGATAAAGGACACGGAGCCCACAGGGAAGGAGGAATGTCTGGGAGGTGTTAGTGGGCAGCCTGAAAGACAGGCCTGAATTCACTTGCCCTGCTTACCCGAGTTAGGAGTTGAGTCCATGTCCCACAACTCTATATCCTGAGGAACAGAAATAGGTGCTTTAAAAGCATCCATTATTCAGGAATGGCTTCTTTGTACTCTGCCCAGTTTACACTTGGGTACAAGACACGAGACTGTTCCTGCCTGCCAAATTGTCTCTTCCAGGGGCGGACACAGGGCCGAACTATGAGGTCCTCAAAGGAAAGCCACCTCTGCCCCAGCAACATGCTGCCACACACAGTGTCCACATGCACATGAGACTGATTGCCCAGCCAGTCATGCTGGAGATGGGGACACTTGGTGAAATACCCCCAGCTTGCTACAATGAACTATAAACACACTCTGCTAAACAGAAATGGGCTTAGATTTATTCCTGTCCCAAGCAGGAAACTAGAAGGGATAATACAGAATTAAGCCGTGAAGTTAACCTTCAGCTATGTAAATTATAGGGAATGAAAAATGCAGTCAATGTGAAACAGTCTTATAAATGCACCTTAACTACAGGCACTATATTGTACAGTGTAATCTTGCAAGCTGGGGCAGTGGAAAACAGCAAGCAAGTTTCAGCCTCTGAGCTATCTGGGGTGAAAAATATTTTTCCAACCGCTTCTGCTGTCGCACACTATTCCACTTGATAGGGAATGTACAAAATGGGCTGACCAGCTAAACACACACTAGTCATAAGGTAGCTATGTTGACAAATTGAATCATATTTTGTGGGATTATACCCAAGGCAAAGAATTTGGAAGATTAGCGACTGAGCAATGTGAAAGCGCTGCCAAGCTCATGTTGCTGAGACTCGTACTGCTGGTTTGGGAGCGCTGCAAGGCCACGTGCCAAGCCCCTCCTCTTTGTGCTTTGGAACCAATATTTGCACAAAGTGAAGTGAAAGCACGGGCACCGGCAGCTGGATAGCTGGGGTTTTATCCAGGTTGTTTTTGTAGGGCACAAGGCCCACAGCCAAAGGACAGCGACGACGTAGATTGTGGCTGTTGAGCTCAGTGGAGCCCTGTTGGCTTTAGACCAGGGGTGTGAGGTGCTGTGCCACCCGGACATCCCCAACACATGTGAAATAAAGAGATTTTAATCACTGATTACTGATTCTTTACATACCTAAAAGTACTCATCGCTCTTTAGCATCCAGATCAGTGAATTACATTGTTTCCACAGTGACACATATATAAAGGCAGGGACTTTGGGTTACACACCATCAGTGACCCCAGATTCTGGAATCACTGCATTCACTACCAGCATCAGAGATGGGACACGAGCAACCCCTGCCTACTTAAATGCCCAGTAACAGGATTCTGGATGAACGTGCACCAAATGCCATCATTTTGAGTCACTACACATCAGCGTTCTGAGGAAGAAGCTCAGAGACATAGTAAAGGATTAAGTCATGAAGCTAACCATCAGATTAAATTACAGGGATTGAGAAATGCAACTGTTGTAAAACTGACCTGTAAAGACACTGGATGCGTTACGATATATAACCTCCTGCAGTATGACTATTATTACATTTTCCTCGTATTAAACTTTGCAAGAGGGCACATGCTTCAATCAAACACACAGAATAACAGCCTGCCTCGTCCTGGTGAGGACAGGGACTGCACTCCAGGGCTCAGGGCAGTCTCAGCTATATGTGGCACGAATGCGTGCAGGTTTATTTGGAGGCTGGATGAGTCTCACAGTCACACTAACCCCATTGTTATGGACAGACACTTTTCCAGCATCTCAAAGCCTTTAATGCCAACATTTCATGAAGGATTAAAATTATTATCCTTGTAATATTCTGGTGAGAACAAGGAAGCAGTGATATCAGGAGGGACAGAGAAACTTGCTTAAAATAGCAAACAGAATTCAGATTTCCCATGTTTTTCTGCAATGGGAGGAGGAAATGGCAGCAGGGATAACCATGCCTGCTGGAGGAATCTTGCAGCCCTAAGATGGACCCAGCTCCCTGCTCACATTCCCATGTGACAGGACCTCACACCTACACATGGTGGGGTCCCAAAGCAGGCAAGAAACCTGGGTGCCATCGTTGCTCCCTATCCAGTACCTGCAAGGGGTGCAGGACAGCCGTGTGAGCCTTATGTCTGCTGGGGGCAGGGAAGGGGGGCAGGCCATCCTTCCTCCTTCCCTCAATTCCTAGTTCACACTACACTGTCTCGTGGCCTCTGAGCCCTTGCCTTCTACCGGCAAATCTGACAGCACACAAAAGCAGCAGGAGTATTACAGATGAGACCTGGCTCTGCAGGACTAAGCTGACAAAAACCCTGAGGAATGCAAACAAACTCCCTGCGCCCCCTCCAGCTCTCTCCTGCAGGATTTGGCTAAACTGTGAGCACTGGGAGGAAGGGAAAGCAATCACAGCAGCATTTCTCAGCTGCAGGCTCTGTGCAGTGCTGCCATGCCCTCTGCCGGGCCCCGGTCTGCCTGTCAGACCACCCTTCCCATGCATGCCTGCACAATGCCTGTGCCCTCACCGCTCTCCTCGCACACCTGCCTGCTTCCTCACAGCTTGGCTGCCACATCCAGCTTGGTCTGAGGTGCCTGCCATCTCCACTGGCCAAAGCTCTGAAACAGAAAAGGAGCAGCAATTAAGAAGGGAGGAAGGTCGCTCAATTAAATCACAACACCCTGAGGGAACAGAAAGTCCGCGGGACCTCCTGTGACAAATGCATCCCATGAAAATGCCAGCTCTGCTCTGGGCTCTTGAATCAACCCAGTTTGTTCTGCAGCTTCCTTGCTCGCCTTACAGCAATACTGACCCCTGGACAACCACTGGGCATTTTGGCAAAAGACGTTTGATAATAAACAGGCAGCAGTGCACCAGCCCTTGGAGTGAAACTCTGTAACTAGCTGACGCCTTCCAAGACCAAGCACAGCCTCTGTGAACTAGAGGGGCAAGAGACCTGTTTCTGCACATATCATCTGGCAAAAGCTGGAAGTAAACCCAACGGCCCCATGAGTAGGCTGAGTATTAGGTAAGACTTGCATTAACCTGAAACTGGGTTGCTCTGAGGCACTGAGCAATGTTCCAACGAACTGAAAGCCCTGCCCCACTCCCACCACAGGCTGAGCACACAAGGAACAGCCTGCAGAGCAGCCACTGCCTCCACACAGGTAACAGCCACCATGCTGTGTGTGGGACACGAGTTGGATCTAAAAGCAAAAACCCACGTCAGGAGTTCGTTGGCCAGCTCCAGAGCTAGCCACAAAGCACAAACGTGAGGTGGGTGATGTGAGTTTCCTGGCACACAGATAACCCAGCAGGACAGGCTGCCTGCACACAGCCCAACACACCCACACAGAGCAGCACTGGGCCCGGGGTGCCTCAGCAGGGCAGGACTCAGTGAGCTGAGGGCTCGCTTGTCCCAAACACAGCTTTGGGATGGTGCGAGGGTCCCGGCGGACCCAGCATCACCCTCAGACCGCTGCTTCCCGCCCACAGCGCTGTGAGGCGCTCCAGAGGCCGCGCTTCCCGCCCAAACTGAGGTAACCCTGCGGGGCGACGCCCCGTCCGGCCAACCGGACAGATAGGAGCAGATAGGCGCTAACCGGGCGGGAGACACGCCAGAAAAAAAGAAAGGCATTGAGCCACGCACGATGCAGCACCTCTCCCAGTTGCCTCCCTCACGACGCCCGAAAGCAACACTGCGCATGCGCATGGTGAACAGGCCGCCATTGGGGATGCGCATGCGCATGGTGGATAGGCCGCCATTGGAATGCGCATGCGCATCCCCAACGGCGGCCTGTCCACCATGCGCATGCGCATCTCTCCTCCCAGCCGGGAGCGCGCACGGAGGCACCTCCTCCCGTGTTTCTGCGCCTGCGCGCCGGCGGCACTTCGTCGCGGTAGTCGCGCGAGATGTACGCACTTCCGCCGGCGGCGGCCGGGGCCTATGTACCAATGGCTGCTGGCGGCTGTCGGCAGTCTCTTCGCCGCCGCGCGCCGCTCCGCGCCACTCCCGGTCCCGCGCAAGCGGCCCTTCCGCAGGTCAGCGCTCCGCCGCGTGTTCCTCCGCGCTGCGTCCGGCCCCCGGGCGTGACGGGGTGCCGGTCTGCCCGAGGGTTCCGCTCCTCGGCCCCGACATGACCTCCCTCAGCCCGCTGGGTGCTGTGCTCTGTGCTGTGCGGCCCGGCGTCCCGTAGGCTTTCTTGGCCACCAGGACGCACACGGGTCCTTTTGCAAATTGCTCCTTTCCAGCCCGTCTGCACTGATGTGTGCAGCTGTACCTTCCCCAGGCGCGGGGCTGTGTGTGTGACTGAGCGAGATGTAATGGACATGAACTGGGATGTGGGGAGTTTCATACAAAAATGAGGAATAAAAGCTCCTGTGAGGGTGTCGGAGCTGTGGAGTGGGCTGCATATGGAGGCGGTGTGGTTTCCTCTGAAGATACTCAAACCCTGGGCACTTTTCTCCTATAGGGAACCTGCTTTAACAGGGGGTCTGGACTGGACCTCCAGAAAGGTCTCCCAACATCTGCAACTCTGTGATTCTGTGTGCAAAGTGAAAGGAGGGGCAGTGCTTTTGCAGGCAGGAGCTGGCGGTGTGCAGCAGAGCCATCCCTGCCACATCCCTCTTCCCAAAGGGAGAGCAACACGGGCTGCCTGCCACGCTTTGGGCACTCAGCTTTGCTAGGAGATCACTGCAAATGAGGGAAGCAAGTAGGGTGGAACTGCTATGTTCCAATGGCAGAGGTGTTTTCATCAGCTGTGCAGTTGGAAATAAGGTCTGAAATGCTGCTTGTCTCTAAAATGACAAAGGTATTCTCAGCTCCCTGTGTGAGGCTGCGAGAAAATCATAGAATGGCCTGGGTTGAAAAGGACCACAGTGCTCATCTCGCTCCAACCCCTTGCTATGTGCAGGGTCACCAACCAGCAGACCAGGCTGCCCACGGCCACATCCAGCCTTGAATGCCTCCAGGGATTGGGCATCCACAACTTCAGTTCTCCATAAGTGCTGTTTCTCAAAATGTACGTGAATGGGACAGGCAGGTGAATGGTTTGGCTGAAATTTTGGATGCAGAGATGTCCTTAGCAAGCACCATTCCCAATCAAAGCGGTGGAGCACATGGGTGAAGTTATACAGAAGTTGCCTTTTTTGTTACGTCTGCCACTTGGGGTTTTCCCACAGCAAAAAAAGATGAAAAATTACGGATATCAGTGGTGAAAGTAATGGGTAAAAATGAGCTTCTCTTCAATGCTGCATTGCAGCATCGTGTGAATTTCAGAGGAAAAGTCAAACTTCAAACAGCTTTACATGGTAAACTATCACAAAGTGCCCACAGCAGTGACACAGGAGGAGATTTGGGAGAGGAGAGAGGCCTGCACGTGGGTGTGTGCATGCAGAAATAAGGGGGTTTGTGACATCTTGTTTTCGCCCCCCCCTCACTGGTGGGGTGGAATAGAATGTTAGGCTGTTGCCACGGCGTCGCAGGGGGAGTTGAGCCCATCTTGGTGTGGAGGGGAGACACACGTCTGCCTCCTGCAGTGCTTTTTCCACCTTTTTTGTGACTGCTGCTCAACACCCTCTGCTTTTACTTCACCTTAAGAGAGCCTTAGAGGAGCACATGCTACAGGGGCACAGCTTGAGCTCCTCGTGAGTTATGCGTTCTGCTGCATAGCTGAGTTTCTTTACCACTCGCTCTTACCTGGAGTGAGAAAACTCGGAGAACATCAGAGGTTTTTTAGTCTTTTTTTGAGTCGTTGAGAGAAAACAAATCCTGCCATGTCCTCAGAAAAACCTAAAGAGCCCAAGCGCCCGGCTAAGTGTAAACGGAAAAAACGACATTGCAACAGGTACGGGGTGCAGTGCTGAAGCTGGGGGAGGAGGCCCTTCTCTGTAAAAACTGCTGGTGGTAACGTAGCTGGGTGTTAAAGCCGTGTTTATCGCTGAGTGCAGCCCTGGGGAGGCCTGTGGTGCTGTGTCTCTGCACGAGGTTCGAGCTGGGAGCCTTCTGCTGTGGGCCTGGGAGTGAAAGTTAGCTGTTGCTAAAAGCTGGATGGGAAGACACACGTGGTGTTGTTTTCTTCTTAATTTAGACTGCTGAAATATTAAATACGCCGAGCAGGAACGTGGTTTTTTGGGAATAATTTGTGTTTACCACCTATTCCTTGGTATCTTCTGCCTGAAGTTAGCAGCGCAGTAATGACAAATATCCTCTGTTTGACATGAAATGTAGAGCTGTTTTGTGTTTCTGATGCGAAAGGGGGACAGTCCAGAGGGGGTGAGATGAGCAGGGCTTGGATGTGTAACAGTTGGAATTGTTTTGATCAAAGAAGGACCAAAGAGTCCTCGCTGTGTAGGGGGGGAAGGACAGAAACACCACTTTGTGTTTTTGGAAGCAAATAGGAAAAAAATAATATATCTATATATATAGAAATGAGCTGTGTATTCCCACCATTAATAACTACATTTCTAGACTTTATCTTTGTGATGACTGATGCAGTACCTCAGCTGCTGCTCAGCAAGGAGGGGTGCAGCTGAGAGCGATTGCAATGAGGGGTTGGCCAGCACTGATTTAGCAGTGAGTTATTTATGTGGGTGTACGTGCATTGCTTTCCCATCTTATATTTCCTGTCCTACTTAGGCTTTTTTTTCCCTCTGCAGCTCATTGTAGTGAACTCAGATGGCTTAGTAATCATCGGCGTATTTCTTTCCTCGAGGAAAGAGGCAAAGCTGTATATTAATTAAGAATTTTTGGTTGCTTGTAACAGATAGAAAGTATATATTGAATGTTGGAGAAAGGGGCCTGAAGTGTTTTGAATGGGTGAATTAATTTTCTGTGTGCGCTCTGCTTGGTGGGAGACATCAATGGGAGATGCTGCCACATGTTTCTGTCTGGACCGATCCTAGAGGTGCTTGCAGGGGAGACCTCTGGGATAGGAGGATTGATTTGGGAAGTTTGGGTCCTGTGAAGGGAAACGAGTCTCTTAGAAGCTCATCTGCAGTCCCCAAATGCTGATCTGCACGTATTTTCCACAGTGTTCAGCCGCCTCTGCAAGAAGATCCTGACGAGCCTCAACCAAAGAGGAAAACATCAGGTACTGCACATTGCAGAAGTAATTAATACGCCTGATTTTTTTGTTTTGTTTAGGTTTTGGGTACTTTAGTAAACTGGCTTCTGTTCTTCAGCATAAAGGCTGAAGTTTTGAGCCATTCTCTAAATTGTGACCCTATGTGTAGCCAATGGCCTGAGGCAGAATTGTGTCTCATGTACTGGCTGTGGCAGGAAGGGGTACTTTTACTGCCAGCAGGAGATGCCCCACGTCTCTCTGGCCATGAGCCCATCCACATCAGCACAGTGAGCACTGTGCATCAAAGCTGAGTGCTCCCTCCTGTATTCATGGTCTGTATTTGTAGTGTTTCACATCTGCCAGCTGAAAAGAGCTGTTTCTTCTGAGAAACCACCTAAAATCTGGGGTACAAAGGAAAGCACCTTCAAAGTGACAGCAGGCAGAGAAAAAAAATGGCATTTAGGAGTGATGCAGCTATGCTGCTACCTCGGTATTCACTGCACAGATCATGGTTTGAGATCAGAGTTTCCCTTTTTCAGTCAGATGAAGAGGGAGAAGCTTTTTATGCTGTAGGATATTTCCTAGCACAAATTTTATGGGGAAACATGGAGCTCTGTAGCTACTGCTTGGCTTCCCCTAATTTAATGCTGAACTGTTACAGTGTGCTGCTCTGGTATCACTTGATCCCTTTTCAGTCATGTTCTTATATGACCTGTCTTGTTCTTTTTAAGGCTCTGAGCCTCCAGGAGAAGCAAGCACTTCTGCTGAGGTGAACTTGCCACCCAGGGCAGCAGATGAACACTGGACAATTTCAGATGACAACGTAACTTCAACCACAACCTTGGGAGAAGAGGTCAGCACAGGTTTTGAAAGTAGGCAGTTGTAATTGTTGAATCTGTGGGAGACAAAAGGAAGGAGCTTCTCTGCATAACAAAGCCTGTACAGCAGTAGGGTTTTCTTTGCTATTTGTAGCAGGCAGCTCTGTTGGCTGGGTTTGCCTCATTCAGGTTTGCACACTGTGCTCTAGCTCTTGTAACTAAGGAGCTCAATGTTTGCTGTCTTTCAGATACTCTGTAGTCATTCATAGCCGTAGTCTTAGGATGTTTACAAGTTGTTTCTAAAGCTAGTAGTTAAGGGATCAGTATGCATCACCTGGCAAGAAAAACTGCATAATTGCTGTGGGTAAAGGTCTCTTTGCTACATTATACACCAGAGGATGCCTTTAAGACTTTGAGTCTTAACCGGTGAACTGTTGCTCATCTCTGTAGCTTGGTTCAAAGCTGCAGTGTTATTTTTCTCACTGCCCCACTGGTAGAAGAGAAGAATAAGAAGCTGCCATGATCCATTTGTTCTTGAGAGAGTTACTCTCTTTCACAGAACTTATTTTTCAGGGGCCAAACTCACGTTTCAGTGTGGTTAGGAGCTGAATAAGAACTCAGGGTTAGATTCATGTCATTTTAATCACTGCATATATGAGCTCCTGTATTAAAAAAAATTAGAAAGTGTACTTGTCAGAGATTCTGCAAATATTTGCACTCTGCTGCAGTCTAAACCAGCATATCACGATCCCTGAGTCATCATAGAGCTGCCTACATTCCAGGAACATCATGTTTGCTTGTGTTTGCATTCAGGTGATATTCACAGTGATATTTTGTTTTTATTCCAGCCTCCATCTGCTCCATATGACCCTTCATTTGAAATACCATCAAGCCCTGTGCTGGAAAGGCTGCAGATTGGTAAGGGTGACACCAGGTCACCAACTCATTTCTTTTTCACCCATCCTTGTGCACCACATGACCCAACTTCAGGTTTGCATACAGATGATTGCAGGCACAGTGTGTAACATCTAGGGATATTGCATGTGAGCTCTGTTTCTTTTTGATTGGTGAAGCTCTTTAAACTCAAAACTTTGGTTTCCTTCTGTAGTGACTGATGTAACTTGTGTTCCTGTTACAGATAATATGCCTTTTGAAAGCGATGCTTACTTTGATAGGGTCACACTGGCCCTTTCTCCTGTGACAGTTCCAGATTTCAGGTAAAAATCCTTTCATTTCTTTCTGGAAAAGACTTTCCACCTTTCCCTTTCATTCTTGAGTGTTGTCAAACACCTGGATCATTGTCCACATAATAATAGTTACCCAAATTATTTTGGGACCTGATCCAGTTGCTGTACTGCAGTGAGATATCCAGCTGCCTTTTTTCACCCCCCTTTGAATCCAGATACTTCATAGACATGGGAGATTTGTTAGAAGAGGCAGCTTTGTTAGCCAGAAGCTTCTGTATTGACTCAGGGCTTGGGCTGCCTTGGAAATGGCCCCGAGAGTATCTGCATCACTTGTGCAGATCAAACAGCAGTGTGTATTCGAGGCAGTTGTTCTGCTTTTAGTTTTACCTGTGTGTACTTTCTCATTAATTGGTTGAAGACAGCAGGTCTTCATCTGAAAGTAATCAACATCTCATGTCGAAACAGTTGTCAGTGCAGGCTGAATTGTAGGTGTTTATTTGAACGTCTTCTTGATGCTGTTTCTTTTGCCTTTGTTATTTTTTAGCAACTACTACACTGAACCTCCTGGAGATGACACTTCAACACCCACTGAGGATGAAGAGCCAAAACCTTCTACTTCTGGAATGGACAAAACAGGGAAGCCTTTGCGCAGCGTTGAGGTACGTGGCTGAGAAAGGCTTTTTGAAATTAAACCATTCAATAATTACAGCTACAAAAACACCCAGTTCCTTCCCTGTCCTTCCCATGTCTGAAGCAGCTGTTGGAAAACACGTAATAAACCTAGATTTCATGGGAAAAAAGTCTCAGACTGAAGTAGAGGAGGAGCAGGCTGTGGCAAGCAGTGAAGTATGATTAAGATATCCTGGGGACTCATAGCAAGCAGTCATTATGTGTACTGACAGGAATGCATATTAGCCTGAATTATTATGCAAGAGGTGCAGACCGCAGCTGCAGATAAGAGGCCCACATTTGAGGAAATGGTTGTAAAAGAAACCTTGAGAATTACAGTGAGCACAAATCCTTCCCACAGGGCTAACACAAAACAGACGTGTGGGAATTGCTGTTAAATGAGCTGCTGTGTTTAGAGAGCAACCTGTGCAGGCTGCACCAAATCCAGATGACAAGTATTTGCTTCATGTGCAGCGATTCTAATCTGTTCTTCTGTTTGTTTGTCCCTCCCTTCTGCTAGGATGCGCAGAAAGAAGAAAAAGAGAAATACAAGCAACTCTTGAAACTACTGAAGGACAAATATGCTAAATACTGCCAAACTGCAAAGCCGACAAGCTCCAAGTAATTAATTATAGGAAGAAATTAACTTAAGATTTGGTGGACACGGAAAGTGGAGGGAAAAAAATGCAGCTTTTGCACTCTCAGGGCTCCTGATAGTGTCCCAGGGCTCCTGATAGTGTCCCAGGGCAGGTCTTTGCATAAACTAAGTTTTAAAAGCTCAAGAGATGCTTCCCCTCCCTGCATTCACTTCCTCCAGGTGTAGCTGGAATGTTTTGTGAATGTGTTCTGCAGATGAAAGTTTGTCACTCTGTAGGGATACGTTTCTCTCCCAGTAGATTAAAAGGAAGAAATCTCAGTCTTGTGTACAGAACTGCTGTTCTGAGAGCAACCTACAAGAGGGAACTTGCGTGTAAATCTGATTCATGAGTAGCAGTGATGTGGGTTTGATATCTCTGTTGCTGTGTAAGAGATTGCATGAAGCTAACCACACCAGGAAAAACACAAAAATAAGAGAAGCTCTTATCTCAGTGGGATACTACACCTCAAAGCTTTGTACAAAGAGCCTAATTAGAAAATATTGATGCCAGAATGGTGAAACAGCAGCGTGCCTTTCTGCACAGGCAGATAGTAGGAAATGCCACGTGAATGCTGTGAAGCATGGATTGCTTTAGCAAAGCTAAAATCCCAGTCTCTGCTTTGTCTCACAGCTAGAAGACATGGAAACACAGTGCTTCAGAGCAGAATAGCACATCACATGTAAACATTCTGCTGTGTGAATACAGAAAATGACACTGTGTGTAATTTTAGGTGCACCAGCATTAATATTTGAGGTTGGATCAACATGCTGCTTTTGGCATCTGATCTTCCAGCCACTGGTTATTGTGGTTTGGCCAATATCTCAGAACAGTCCTGAAGGATGAATTTAAACATTCCAGAAACGTGTGTTGTGTGGACAATGTATTCACAGTGCCAGCATTATCTCCAATAAAGGGCTGGCCAGGGATTGTGACAGAGAATGCTGCCTCGTCCTATAAAACACAGATTGCATACAGATAACAGATACTGCATGTATAGAAATTCTGATTCTGTTTTGTTTTTTTCCTGCTGCACCAAAGTGTTGAGATTTACTACAAAGAGTCACTGTCTGCTGTAACTTTCCTGGAAGAACAAAGATGTGGAGGGGATGCCTCCAAGCTTTTGACACCAAAACCTGGTGAGTGAGCCCTGCTTTATAGTTGCTCTGTTTTATAGCTAGGCTTATAAAATAGAGCATTTATTTAAGTCTTGAAGGTATATTTTATGCTATGCTAGATGTGGTGTGGCTTACATTGGCTCTTAGAACAAAACAAGCTGTCTCTGGAAAGAAAAAGGAGAGCAGGAACAAAACCAGAGATAGTTGTTAGCTGAAATGGCTCTGTAAGTGACAAGCTTTGTTTAAAGCTGTTCCTCCACCCTGGTGCTGTACCAGAGGTGTTCTTAGCTGCAGAAGTAACTGCATGCTGTGCAGGTGAAGTCTGTAACATCTGGCCCTTTGTGCTGGTGGAGGCACACTGATGTGTGTGTACCCTTTAGGTTACCTCACCCAGCTGTGATAATGCATTACTGTTTAATCCTTTTTTATGTGACCATATCCATGATATCAGAGCTTCAACACTAAGCCAGCTGTTACAAACTGAAACATTAACCTGGTGGAAAGGCAATAAGGAGTGAAACAACAAAAGGGACAAGCATGAAACAGGGTGGTGTTATAAAAGAGAAAGTGCTTACCTGTCTCTGAAGATTTAGGCTCACAAGGGAGCAATCTCCAAGCAGAGCTCCTTCCCCTCAGCCAGTCAGCCCTTAAATGGGGTCTAAGAGAGGTGCAGCCAGGCTCCTCCCCCATTGCCTCCACCTGTGCTCCCAGGTCCTTTCCCCAGGTGCTCAATCAGTGCTTCAGGCTGGGACTCAACAGTTCCCATAAACCAGCAGATTGCTTCTTTCCTGGATTAGCACAGCACCTCTCTTTATAACAAGTTGGCTTGTTTTGTAGATCATCTTTTCTGGTAAGCTGAAGAATGTAACTACTGAAAGTGACTTTAGATCCTGGGCTTCAGAGCTCACACGCTTTCACATAATGTCCAGGAGGCCTGTTTGCCAGAGTTAAAACTTCATGACCTTGTAGTCATTGTTAGGAAGGTTGTTGGGATTTTTTTTTTTGTCTTTTCCTTCATAATCTGAGAGTCATGTTTGCCTGATCCTCATTAAATGCTGACTTCTTGTATGCTTTTTTGTGCAGATGGCAGGAGCCCACGCCACTCTCCAGAACGTGAGCAGCCCAGGTAGAATCTTGGTTCCTCTTTGGTTTTGTTCTGTGTATTCCAGCAGTGTCCAGAAGGAGAATAACCATCCTCATCTCAATGTTCTGGCATGAGAGCAGCTAGCTTGTGGCTCTGGAATTGCTTGCAATCCAGTTGTGTCTCTCATTTCTTCTCTGTGAACCATCTGAGCAGCAGCAGCGCGAGCGCAGATGGCTGCGTGTTGCTGAAGGAAGCAAAGCCAGTGAGAGAGACTTCTGTATGGCAGTCTGATCTGTGATAATGCATTCCTTAACCAGAAGGTGGACGTGTAAGAGTTACATGCATTGCTACAGCCTGCTTCTCTGTTTCCAGTTGCAGTTACGGTACGCCAGCAGAAAAGGAAGGCAAGAGAGGACAAGAGGGACAACCCAACTCAGGGGTGAGTTTATTATTCAGATGTATGTGGATACATGGGTGTATGGATGCATACTCAAAATACACTTCCAGTTTTATACACGAGCAAGACTTTGTGTTATCCCTTAGCAAATTTGCTTTCTAACTTGACCTCTTTTTGTCTGAGACAGCATGGAGATGAAGTCCCAAGGAATGCCTCCTCTGGATTGCATCTGCCACCCGTTGTGTCCGGAAGACCATCTATCCATGATGAGGAAGAAAAGAAACTCCCCAAATCCCAAGAACGCTTTCCTCCACTCACAGAGGTACCATAGCTGTCGGTCCCTTGTTCAAATTAGAAAGCTGTAAAACATCCACATAGCTCTTATTTTTTTGCAGATGGTTCTTGAGCCTGTTTTGCAGTGTTAGGAGCTTGCATTCACCACTTGTAGATGTCTACAGAGCAAGGGTCAGCAGTAAAGCTGATCTTAAAGGGTTTAATACAGTCCACACAGTCCTTTGGTTGTGCTCACGTAAGGGTTTGTGGGAATTGTGTGAGCAGGACCAAAACTGGTCCACGTTTAACAGGTGCTTTTGCAGAGCACTATTTGGCTGCTCTGATTCCTTGAAGTCCTGCTGATGTAATTGAACACCTTCTTTCTGGCCCAGTGACGACTGGTTTGGGAAGGGCAAGCAAATTGAGGGTTTACAAACTCTGGACAGTGAAGCTCCATACAAGACAAAAAAGTTGTTTTTCTCACTTCACTGGCCCAGATTTAACCAAAAGGAAGTGTGCTTTGCACCCCTTAAGCAGGCTTCGATGGAAACATCCATACAAGAACAGTTACACACACAGCTGAGCCTCCTGAATGCATGAGTCCAGTGTCGACACCTCAGTTCCCTTTGGAGTTCCCCACTTTTAACTTCTTTTAGGTCCCTGACTCACAAGCCTTGGTATGAAAAATGCCCACTGTGGTGCTGGTCTTATCACTCGAGCCTTCATATAGCAGACCTTGTTACAGCTGAAAGCTGCCCACAGGTTGGTGTGCTCACCATTTCCCATTCAATTTCTTGCTTCAGGCCATGGAGAGAGAGATCAAGGCTGCATTGAGCGAGGGTAAACCAGAGGAGGTTGTGAGCAGTGCCTTCAAACTCAGGCTCAGCCGTGAGGACATCCAGACACTGAACAACTTTTCGTGGCTCAATGACGAGGTAAAGCTTGCTGCAGCACAGGGATGTTTCTGTTCTGGATGTCTCTTCAAATGTCCTCGCTGGGCACAGGTGTCTGATTTCAGATATTTGCAGACCCTCACTGCAGAACTTATAAACACCTGTTGAGTCTTACTGTAGGTAAATAAAGGTCTAGAGTTGTAGAAACTCTAATTGTTGGGTCATGCAGTTTGTAGAAGTTAATCTTCTGAAAGTATTGCTTCTCTGGTTTTGGGTTTTTTTTTACTTTTTTAATTTGGTGAGCAGTGTCTTATTTTGTATTTTATATTTGCTTTTTACCATACAGGTCATTAATTTCTATATGAATCTTCTGATGGAAAGAGGCAAAAAAGAAAACTATCCATCAGTGTACGCTTTTAGTACTTTCTTCTGTCACAAACTTCTTTCCGAAGGCTACACAGCAGTAAAAAGATGGACTAGAAATGTGAATCTGTTCAAACATCACATCATTTTAGTTCCTATTCACTTGAGATCACACTGGACCTTGGTGGTGAGTCATGCTGGATTTCTTTTTTTTTTTTCAATTGAAGAATTAAGTGGGGAGAAAGCAAGCAAGCAAGAAAGGTTGATCAGTTTTTGTTCAGTTTGCTGCATAGGCTCGTGCAGTGTCTGATGGTTACTTTTCAATAACAGGTCGTAGATATCAGAATGAAGACCATCACATACTTTGACTCACTTGGAAAAAGAGGAGACAAGATTTGTGAAGCTGTATTGTGAGTAACTGCTCAGTCAGTGCTGTTTGTTGTGAACTCTGAGAAGGTTTTTAGCTATTTGTACCTGAGACACAACTGGAAGCGTTTGGTTTTTTTGTAGCTGGGGAATAAAACCATTCTCACATCACTCCTTCCATCCAGGAGAGTGATACATGTCTCCAGGATGTACAGAGCATCACCATGAAATGCGTGCAAACTAAACATTTGAGTTGTTCCTCCAAATGCCTTATGGCAGTAAAGATCCACTGACATCTTACTGTCCTGCCATTTGGCTTCCTGTGGAATTTCAGGGATCTCTTTTTCGTTGGCCTAAAATACGGAGATGAAGAGTTGTTTTGTTTTGTTTTAAACAGCCAATACCTGCAAGAGGAGAGCTGGGAGAAACGAAAAGTGAAGCTGTCACTTTCGGAGTGGACCCTTCACAGCATGGAGTCCCATGTATGTGAGCACTGCTGGGACCTGAAACCCGCAGCTCCTCGTCACAAAGGCCTTAATGCTTTCTTAACAAGTCTAAGCTTTAAAGAGCATCCATAAACATAAACCATCTCGGGCTGCAAGTGGATTAGGAAGCTGTGCTGGGATGCGAGGCAGTGCCTTTCCTTGCTGGCCAAGTACTTTATTTTTCTATGAGTCTGCCATGTTAGGGTGAATCTGGCTTTGCACCTTTTACACAAGTTGAATTTAAGAATCTGTTCAGCTGTTGTCTGAGAGAGAAGGCTTCCAAAAGCAGGCAGGGCTTTGAGGTGATTCTTCTTCGTGCGTGAATTCTGGCAGGTGATGAAGAAAAGGGTTGAGCTGATGTCTTTCAACAAATTAATAGCAATAAGCAGCATCTGCAGACTCAGGAGACATGACACCACTGTGCTGCTCGCAATGCAAACTTCAAGACACCTTGCAGGGTGGATTGCTGCTACCCCTGCAAGAATTTGGATTATGAGGTCCAAGGAAAGGAGACAGAGGGCTGTGAAGATGTGGTTCGTGGGTTTACTCCTCGTGTGTGGGATGGGTTGTGCACGCAGGTTTGCAAGTCAGAGTATTGGGGGTGGTGGGTGGTGCTGCCCCCAAGCTGCTTTTCTTTTAAGATAGAAAACATTCTCCACCTTCTTCCCTTTCATTAGGAAATTCCTCAGCAATCGAATGGAAGTGACTGCGGAGTTTTTATGTGCAAATATGCAGATTATGTCTGCAGAGACAAACCCATTACCTTCACTGAGGTGAGCCAAAGCTCCTAATGGTTTCAGATGAGTGCACACGTGCAGGGGCTGGGGAGGTTGTGCAGCTGTTTGCTCTGCCTGGGGTGGAAGTTTTGTACTTCCATTTGTGGTGCGTGGCGCCAGGGCTGGAACTCAAAGTGGCCTCAGCAGAGTAGAGCTGTGTTCACCATCCTTAGGTCTCAGGCAAACCTTGAGCTTCCCCTCGGGCAAGGTATGGTTTTTGTATCTTTTGGAGAAATAGGCTTAACCCTTAGACTGATTAAAATAGGAGTTATCTTCTGATGTAGCGGCCTTTAATTAGAGCTTGTTTTAAGCTGTTGTTAATGGTCAGATAAATCTGGCTTCGTTGGGTTTCATCCATGCAGCACCGCAGTGGGTGTGAGACACAGCAGACCGTGTTGTACTCACGGGGGCTGCGTTGACAGTGCTTAAAATGAGCTTGATGTGAGAGAACACCACACGTGTTTTCTGTCCCTTCCTGCTGTGCACTGCATGGGTTTTTCTTTCCTTTTCTGTACAGGAAGACATGCCTTACTTCCGCAAGAGAATGGTGTGGGAAATAATCCATCAGCAGCTGCTGTGAGGCATGAACCGGCAGAGCAACACGGTGGATCACCTCGCAGTCACTAACTCCTATTTCATTATGTTTGCAGTGCCTTACTGAACAGGAAGCAGGCACTCACATGTTTCTCTTTTAGGCTATAAAGTAACGGTTAATTTTTTTCCTCCATTTCGGAGACGGTGCCTCTCTTTGAAATGAGCTGATGCGCCTTGAGTGAGAGTCTGAAAGTTGGCTGTGACTTCACCTGGGGAGTGGTGGAGAAGAAATGGTGTGAACTTGTGTCGGTGGGACGGAGGGCTGCCACCTCACTGCACACGTGGCCACATTTATGGACAAATGGGACTCTCCTGCCTGGTGGTAACAGTCGTGGGAGCCAAACTGAGCTCCCCGAGGACAATGTGCTTAGCTGCTGTTTCTTCAAGGAGAGTTTTCTTCTGTTTCTGGAATACCTACGATCTACTTGATTCCTAAAACTGGATTTGTGATGAAAGGGGGGGGGAAAAAAAAAAGTATTGACGGTTTTCTTGATTTGTAACAAATCTGTAGTGAAGCCCCTTTAGTTGGGGTGGTTTTGTTTTGTCTGCAGGGAATTATCTGATGTGAAAAGAGAAGTATTTATTTTGTTTCTTTTTTAAAGTAAATATGTAATTTATACAAAGAGCTTTACTGGAAAGAAATTCTACCTGGTGATGAAAGAGAGTGTTTTTTCTAAATGAAGAAAAAAAAAGAAAGAGGTATCAGAGTGGTTTTTGCTTGCTTATGTGAGGAGGAAGACTCTAGCTAGGGTGAGTATCGGAGCACAGAAGCCTCCCAGCAATGTTTGTGAAATCCTGAAGGGGCAATGAGAATGTTTTATTGAGTCCAGTTGTATTCGGTCTGTTTTTGTATCCTGCTGAGCTCATGCTCTTTAACTGGAGTCAGTTTGGGGTCTCTGAGTTCCCTGTGTACTGTTGCAGAGGGGAGGCTGTTGCATGCTTGGCATGCAGGCTGTGTTGGAATGGTGGTGTTAAGAACCACATCACACTGTTTCTGTGAGGTGGTTCCGTTCCCCCAGCTCTGAGGTAAAGATGCTGATTTTTGGAGATGTGCCCTCTGTGCTCGTGTGAACGATCTGCTTTCAGGCTGCTCCTCGCCAGAGGGGCTGCTTTCCTAGGGGAGCTGCTGAGTGGGTTTATCTGTGCTGTGGCCAGGAGCTGGATCAGTCTTTGCTTCCAAACTGATTAGCTTAATCCATCACAAATCAGAGGAGGTGCCCCAAAGAGGGAACTATTACAAAGGCAATCTGCTGTGGTTTGTCCTGACGTGAGATGCTTAATCTTCTGTGGATTCCCTGAGGACGTGAGGGATTTCAGCTGTTGATTAGTTAGGACCTGGTAGCTGAACTGCTTGAAGTGTCCTTTTCCAGTTTGCCTGTGGATTGTTACCCTTAGGTCACCGTAAGATGCTCTAAGAACATCCTGTGGTGGGGAATCATCTCTTACATCTTCTGTGACGCCTTGAGAGAGCGCCTGGGGCCTGTGATGCAGTGTGAGTCACACAGTGCTCCCTGGGTGGGGAGGGCGAGGGAGGGGGGGCTGCTCTCATGCTGCCATGAGCTCTGCTGATGCCGTCAGCTGCGTGGTGACGCAGTCATTACTGGCAGGGAGGACCTTGGGGGGGGGCTCAGCCCTTGTGTCACCATCAAATCCATCACCGAGGTTCGTGTGGGTCATCCATCGGGGTGGGAGAAGTCATTGCTGATTGCAGGCTGGCTGGGGGTGAGGGGACAGACTTGGGAATTGCTGCTGCAACACGAGACCGGAGGCTGCTTCTACAAAGCACGTGGCCACAAGCAGCCTGCTTTGCTGTTTGGAGCTACTGGTGATGGGTGCACCAGAGGGAAGGAGCCCGCTCCAAGGCTGTGAGTTGGGTTTTCTCTTTTTGGCACCAGCCTTGCTGCCCATGCACACATCTCCCAGTTGCAGTAAATCACAGGTGCAGGGAGCTCCCCGTTTTCATACAGGGGCAGTTTGAGCCCCATTTAGGCCATTCCCCATTGGCTGCATACCAATGCCCAGCCCACAGCTGGTCTGCCTGCACTTGGGAGCTGATACTTAGCAAGAGACATGGCCACGGGAGCCAGCAGGGATGCTTGAGCTCTAGGGCTGCATAAGCACAACTGGTGGTCCGTCAGAAAACATGAGGTGGCCTTGTTTTGGCTTTGCCAACTGGAGAGGCACAGTGGTGATCTCAGTGCAGAGAGGTGGCTTTGATGATGGTGACATCTCTGGAAGTTCATGCAACTGCTGTCCATGCCTGCAACCCCTCCTCAAAAAACTAGATAAAGAGCTCACGTGGGAGGTGAAATTTGGCTGCGGTGAGGCTGCTGCAGCCTGAGGGGGTGGGATGTGGGAGGTTGGGCTTCAACCTGCGTCCATCGGGTCAACATCCAGCCCCAAGGTCAGCAGCGAAGACGCGGCACGCTGGAGGCTGACAGGGACAGCACAGCTCTTCCTTTGGCCATCAGGGCCTCCACGCTGCTGGATTTACAACAAAACCCCCAACAGCAGCCCTACAGTCCACCCACCCTTTTCCCCCCCTGGGCCTGTGCGCCCACCCTGCGCTCAGCCTGGCCACGGCCACCACAGGGCACAGGAAAGAAAGCAACGCAGAGCAAGCTCAGGCTCTTGTTAGCTGGATATATTTTGTTTTTTGTTGTCGTTGGCTTTTTTCACAGAACACTTTGCAGCAGACAAAAACTGGCATTGCAGTCTGTCGGTACATCGCTGGCACGGGCTCAGCCTTCAGCACCTCGCCGGGCGGTCAGCCCTGGTCCTTTCTTTTGCCGCTTGGCTTTCATCACCTTTTGCTATTTTATTTTTTTCCTTTTTACCTTTTTTTTATTATTATTTTTGTGCTTTTTTTTTCTTTTTCTTTTTTTTTTTAAATTTTCCTCTCCTCTTTTGAACGTTTCTCCAAAGGAACGGCCACTGGCTCTGGGCAAGCTGGAGATTACAGAAGAGCTCTCGGACGCTGGTTTTCCTCCTCCCGCCTCGCAGCTGATTTGGTCGAGATAGTTTTCCAACTTTTGTTTTTATTACAAAAATAAAAAAAATTGCTCCAACTATCAGTTTTACAAGGCATACAAAAAATCTCTAAAAGGGAAACACAAGCGCAAGGTGCTGAGGTACGAAAACCTGAGGTAGTTCTTTGTGTGTGTGTGTATGCGTGTTGTGTTCTTGTAAAAACTTTTGCAAGGTCTTTTCTTTCTCCAAGCCCTGGGCCAACAACGTTTTGAAAATATCTTTTTTCCCTCTTATTTCTCCCTTCAATATGAAAAAAAAAAGCTCCCAAAAAGCAATTTATCCTCCAAAAGAGCCCTGGGGGGGGCGGGGGGTTGTTCTCTGCGGGCTGACCGCGGGGCAGGGCTGGTTTTGGGGTGCTAACGTTGAGCACAGCTTTGTCTGGCAGTGATGGAGACAAAGAGATGGACAGATGGACAGGGCGTGGGGCAGAACAGATGCAAAACCCAGTTGTGAAGCAAAGAGGAAAGGGCGTGTGAAGGGGAGAGTTTTCTCTGGTAGGAGACGGTATCCCTTCTGTTGGCTCATACAGGCAGTCCCCATGGCACTGCTTTCACAGCCCTTAAGAAACTGCTCGTTAACACTTCTTTAATTGTTGTTCCTGCTGGCAATCCTACAATCTGTGCTACTGTGCATTAGAGAACCACTGGACTAGCTCTTAAGCCTAGAAAAGCCTGCTTTGACTAAAACAAACATCCCACCCCTGTGACATTAAAAAAAAAAAAAAAGAAAAAAAGAAAAAAAAAAGAAAAAAAAATTATAAAAAAATTATAAAAATTAAAAACCAGCATTAGTTTTGTTATTGATATATTAATTCTAAAATATAGGACCGGCACGGACACCGGGTGCCGGATGGGATCCTCCAGCCACACCTGGCCAGGGAATGGCTGCAAAACGGGGCATTTGGGGGGGAAATAATAGAAACGATTAGAAAAACAAACAAACAAAACAACAAAATCCCAAAGCCCTCTGCCTATGTTAGTCCAACTAAAGGGATAGCGTCAGGAACCGAGTCAGGCGGAGGCTGTGGGACGGAGAGGCCGGGCGCTGCGGGCTGCAGGGGGCCGTCCCCGCGCCAGCCCTGTGCCCCGGGGTGCTCTTTGGTTGCTCCCTGCCCGTGCTGGCAGGGGTACATTCATCGGCGCGCTGGGAGGGAGCCTCACTTGCTGTGCTGCGAGGCAGGGGCTCCCTGAGCGTGTTTCTGCTCCTGCTGCTTCACCTGCTGGACGATTTCCCTGATCTTGCGCTGTGCAGTCTGGAGAGAAAGCGAGAGGCGGCGGTCAGGGGAGCCCGCGGTGCCCAAACGTGTGCTTTACCCGGACGGAGCCTATCTTTAATTTCTGCACTACCGCCACTGGGGAGAGCTGCTGAGACGCCAATAGTGCCTCCCAGAGCCGCCAGCAAAAGGATGCTCGTGTAGGGCGGGCATCTGGAAGGCAGAACGTGGAGCGGTGAGAGAAGACGCAGCGAAAGCCTCACCTGGCTGGCAAAGAAATGCCCGATGATCTTAACGATGACCTCCTCATTCTCATCCGGGGTTTGGTCTCGGGGCACGATGACCTCTGCGCTCGTTAAGTTTTGCAGCTCGTTCACCTGCAGCAGAAGGCAGAGCCTGTGTTGCTGGGGTAGCCATACCCAGGAGGACCCAGCCCCGCTGCTGCGCCTGCCGTACCGTTTTGCCACCTTTGCCTATCACACGGCCAGCTGCAAAGGAAGGCACCTTGATGTGGGCTTCAAGCTTCACCTCTTCTTTCGGGTTGAAGAAGTTCTCTTCTTTCAGCTTCCCAAATATTCGCCCCTGGGCCTGCGGGAGGGTGATGTGAAACGTAGGAAAACAGCAGCCTGCACCCCAGCACCAACAAGCAGTGTCCCCCAGCCCCATCACCCACCAGGGACCCAAGGGATACCCGAGTTGTGCTCCCATTCCCAGCACTGAGCCCACCTTGAACTGTGCCTCAGGTGGCCCCGTGATGATGACCATCCGCTCAGTAGCATCAGGACCTTCTGCTGGGGCAATCTGCAAAATAGGAGGGGGGCAGGAGTGTGTGAGCAGGCTCTGCTTTGGCAAGACCCACCTGGGAGGTGCTGTCCCCAGTGCTCCATGGGGACACCTGGCCTCATAGACACTACCTAAACCTCCCTTCCCTTCCAAGGAGAGGCTGATCCAGCTCCTTGGCACTTCTGGTGCGCACTCAGCCATTGCCACCCACGTGCCTGGAGAACATCAGGGTGCTGCAGCATCCCCCAAGACAGAGGGATCCACACAGAGAGCTGCAGGGATAGGACCACCACCCCATGGTGGGCATCAGCTCTCTGGAGGAGCCCCTTCCCACCCCCTAGGAGGAGAAAGCCAGATGTGAGGCTGCTGCTCACCTTGATGGAGGCCCCTGCGAAGCGTGCCAGCTGCTTGATGTGCTGCCCCTTCTTCCCAATGATGGCCCCCACTGCCTGCGTTGGGATGAACAAGTTCACAACCTCCTGCTCAGGGAGCTGCCAGGGAGAGCAAAGGTTTATCCTTAACTCCTGCTTTTTTCCATTTGCCATTCCTGATTTTGAAGGTGGTTGGCACATGACCTCCAAAACCATCCCAACCAGAGCCTGCCAAGCAGGAGCATGGCACTGTGTGGGGACAAGTGCTACCCCAAGCTGCATCCCTGCCCTGGGGACAG